ATGCTCAGTACAATGGGTCATGCAGCATCCTTAGTAAGTCCAGATCATGTGAGTTACATGGACACAAGGTGGCTGATAGTAAGGCCTCCTGGAAACACAGCAGTAAATCCTGATCCATCACATGACACAAGGTCAAAAGGCAATCAGACCATTTGCATGACCCTAGGGGGTGTGCACTGTTTTTACACTCCAAAAGTGGCCAGATGAAGGGACCACATTGGAGATGGTGCATTCTGTGCATTAACTTCATGGAGATATGTTCCCACAGTGCTATTCTAAGCCCCCAGGCTACTGACACTAGTACCCAGACCATATGGCTCAGTGGTTGCAGCACCTGGTAAACACCTAGGAGGTCACTGGTTCAATCTTAGGACTGGTCACATTTTCCTCATAAGGCTACATTGGGACATCCCTCCCCCCCTCTGGCAAGCAGTGGGATGTCCCACAACAGCCTCTAAAGCTACATTGGGACATCCCTCCCCCCCTCTGGCAAGTAGTGGGATGTCCCACAATAGCCTCTAAGGCTACATTGGAACATCCCTCCCCCCCTCTGGCAAGCAGTGGGATGTCCCATGACAGCCTCTAAAGCTACATTGGGACATCCATCCCCCCCCTCTGGCAAGCAGTGGGATGTCCCATGACAGCCTCTAAGGCTACATTGGGACATCCCTCCCCCTCCTCTGGCAAGCAGTGGGATGACCCACAACAGCCTCTAAGGCTACATTGGGACATCCCTCCCCCCCCTCTGGCAACCAGTGGGATGTCCCACAGCAGCCTCTGAGCAAGTGGGGAATGGTGCATTGCTCTTCACATAGTCTTGTTCCCATGTCACTGGTTTACCCCCATGCTACTGATATTAGTACCTGGACAATATAAATTTGCACAACTGTTAGAGCACTGTTTATCACCTAAGAGGTTGCTTCAATCCCAGCTCTGGTCACATTTCCATCATAAGGCTACATTGGGACATCCCACTTCCCCCTCTGGCAGCTGGGGGTAGTGTTGCTGTGGCTCAGGGAGCTGTCCTCAGCCAAGGGTCATACCACATCTATATTATTGAGTATTAAAATAATTATTGTGGATTTGGTATGTGGCAACACAAGGCTACATTTGGTAATAGTTGTCATAGTGACTAAGCTGCTTGTTGTTGAGCAGGTCAGCCTTTGGAGCTGAGCCACAGCAACACTAGCTGAGGCTATGTCCCAGAACACCCTCTTGGGTTATATTGACATTCCACCCCACTCTCCAGCAGCCAGTGGGATATCCCACAACAGCCTCTTAGGCTAAGTTGGGACATCCCACTGTCCCCCTTCTGAGACTGGTGTGGGGCATCCCACCCTCCCCTTTGTCACCCAGTGGGATGTCCCACAATACCCTCTAACACTACATTGGGACATCCCACCCCCTCTCTGTCAAGCAGTGGGATGTCCCACAACAGCCTCTAAGGCTACATTGGGACATCCCACCTGCCCCTCTGCCAACCAGTGGGATTATTCTACATTTTACCCATGCATATGTCTTGCAAACATGATGCTCAAAAAAAATTCTATTTAAACACACCAAATAGATTATAATATGTCTCTATCACCCTTATCTGTATCAAACTCTTTTACTTGGAGATGATGGTGGATCCATGTCCAGTAGGTCATTCTCCCATTCTTCTCCCCAACAGAATTCTTCCAATGGCATATCACTTTGTTGGTGATATTCATCTGCCAGGGAAAATTCTTCAGCAACACATAGCAACTCATCATCCATCACTTCATCCTCATCCTCTTTACCCTGTGACTCCAATCCGTCAAACCTCTCCTCATTAACACTATCAATATATATAACATGACCACCCTGCACCATGCTGTGCAGTTCTTCATCACTTGCACCCCAGTTCTCATTAGGTGTTCCAGGATAGCCTCTAAGTTGCCTCTTCCACAAGATGCACAGACCTGCTAGTCTCAATGCTCTGCAGTCAAGTTCATATGCAAGATCAACATCTGCAATGTGTGTTAGTCATGGTAATGCAATGACACATGTCTCTTACCAGCACTCTGTCTGGTTTTCTGCACACAACCCCACTCTTCAGAAAACCACTCTGTCAAAGCTCTTCTTTCCTGCAACAGGCACCTTTCCTCTTCTTCACAATGCCTCAGCTCAAGGAGTGATCTGATCCCTGAGCACACTTTTTCATCAGCTAACCATGGGGGTAGTAACCCATCTGAATCATCCCCAAGGCCAATATCCTGCCAAATATCATCATCCACATCCAGTTTGAACAAAGAGTCCCTTGGGATCAGGAGTGGGGCTATTGACCCCTGAGGAGCTTTTCCCTTGTGTATGAGGCCTACAATTTGCAGACACAGATTATTGTAGCTACTGGCAAGCTTGGCTATTCCTGGTTCTCGTTGCTTCACAGATGCTTCTGTGTGGTTTTGAAGTCTTTGGTCTTCAAGGCAAGTCAAATACAAGGGTATTCATGAATGATGACCTCTTACCACTGAGAGTCTGCCAATATGAGCATTCCAGTCTTTCCAACTCAAACTTTCATTGGCACAGACGATGTGAGTCAAAGTGAGGTTCAGTGGTGAAGACCAACCAAAACCAACACAAAAGACAATGAAAGCGAGTGGTGGTGTGCCTATGCGGTACCTAGATGGTAGAACCTGTTCTTTGGGAGGGTTTTTTCGAGCTACAACACTCAAAGATGAGTGCTGAGGGTTGGGGGTGCTCCTGATGAAGAGGGAGCAAGAATGTGATAGAAAGTGATAGGGTAGACTGCTGTCAGCCTACAGAAGGATGGATGGTGACTTAATTTGATGTCCTAAGCTGTACTGAGCTCAGGGAGGGCTTGGAGCGAAGTATATGGATGATAGATGATGATAAGTGAAGTAGATGATAGCTAGACCCTTAATAAAGTCTCAACTATCGAAGCTGATGAATGATTTACTGAGAGATGATAAATTGCGAGCAAGAGGGGCTCTCTGATGTCTTCTTTTTTTTTGCTACCTAAGTACAGTGACTTATATACAGTACAGGGGCATTGCCTATGGAAAACAAGGTGCAAACACTTGGTAAGCAATTGGTAACTGATGAGTAAGGAATGTAAGCAATGGGTAATCGTCTTGGAAAGCATTGGTAAGCATTGGTAAGGATAAGTAAGCCAAAAAGTGAAGAATCAGTAAGCAAAGTCAAAAGATTGGTAAGTATTGGCAATAGGTGAGTCAAAGACAGTCAGAATGTCAAAGTATGAGTCAAGCAATGTCAGGAACCAAGAAAGCGCACTGGAATCACATTAGGGGGAGGCTGTGCATGTCACATCTTGAAGAGATTGCTTCTAGGCCAAAGTGGGATGACAGAGAGGCAGCGCTGATCTGATGCCAATATAGTACATCCAAAAGTGGACAGGGTGAAGCAGATGTCAACAGGGGTCAAGCTTTGGGGGTCTGTGGGGTGACAGGAGCATAGGGGATCACAACTTTCCCCCCCAAACCATCCTCTCAGTGAAGCAAATAAAAACTTCATGAACAAGGCTCTGTTGGAAGAGAGGATGAAGGGGGAGCATCTTCTGCTGTATCTTGCAACAAGGAGGCAAGATGTGCATCATACTCATCATGGATGCGATCAGGGAGAGTGGAGAACAGTAGATTATACTGTAGCTGTCGCAATTTTGGATGAATGATGGACGAGACTGGTATGAAGATGTTGCAGGGGGCAGGGAGGAAGGATCCATATGCTTCTTGGACTGGAGAGACTGAAACAACCACATAAGACCTTTCCAAGCAAATGACAGACCTGAGGCGACCAAAGAATGTCCTCCTGGAGGTCATACTGACAAAAAGAACACGCTGTCCAAGCTGGATGGGCTGAGAGGGGGCAGATGAGGGTGGGATGTACCAGGACGCTTCAGGACAGAAGCTGGTAGGAACTCCTGGTAGATATATGTAGCCATGGTCCCTAGCAAAGGGGACAAGCAAAATGACTGATGTGGAGGCAGCCATATCAGAAGAATTAGCAAAATGAGCATCTTTTGGAGGGAGTGCTGTAGAAACATGTGGAGTGCGCAAATCCTTTCCAATCTTGGAAGGTAGGATCACATGGCTGAGCACTACAAGCGAGTGTGGGAATGGTTTCAGTGTCTGCAGAATTGGTGGAGATACGTCAAAAACTGGAATGCCATACACAGGTGCTTAAGAACTTTATTGGTGCTTAACTTGCCTCCTCCTTTTTCCTTGGCATTGACAACCTGTTCTTGTGCAAGGGATGACTGCTGACATTGCTGGCTGTCCTTCTTTGCATGAGGGCTATGGTCTTCACCTCCATTCATCAGCTACATCCATGTCCACCTCACCAAACACCTTTGGTGTGTGACAACGATCTCTGATATGTTTCTTGATTGCAAATGCATGCAAGCAAAGCCATGGAACATGGTCTCAATTAGATGAAACCATGTAGAAAATACACTGCCACTAACTTGAAGATGAGCACTCTTTTGGATACTAGCAAGATTTGAATGCCCATTTATGCCTAGGGTTGCCCTCTGGTTCTGCAAAGCTTCTTTAAAACACTTAACCTTTTGATGACACTCTGCAATTTGGATATTCAAGCTTGTCATGTCAGCAACCCCATGGAGAAGATCTTTCTCCAGCATGTCTAGCTTGGCCTCATACTTTGCCAATGATTTCTGAGTTGCCATGATTTGCAATATCATATTCTCAGCAGCTTTAGAGCTGTGACCTAATTTGATGGTGAGCAGGAGTCATTATTTATATCAGCAGCTTATGAGGAGCTGGCTTTGTCTGTGCAGAGACTTGAGCAACCCATTCAGCTTGAAGAGTTGGGATATCAACTCCACATCTCCTTAGGCCTCTGTTTTCAGCAGCCTTCTTTTCTTGGCAATGATTCCAGTGATGCAAAAGCCACTGGCCCAAACCAGTGAGACTCTTCATGTCCAGGTGGCACACCTGGAAGTCAATAACAAAGAGGTGTTGATGATACTGAATAATATGTTAGCTTGAAACAGATGTGGCATACTGCCCACATACCCCAGAAACACAAAGAGATGGTATCAGCCCTTTGATTGAACTCCAAAAACACTCACATCCCTCTCCATCAGATAGCCCAAATACTTCACATTTTCGGGGGTGATAGATAAGCTGACTTGCCTATTGATGACCAAAGGCATGAAATACTGAGATGGCAAAAGAAATACATGGCAGAAATGACTTGAGAAAACTCCACTTCCTGCAGCTCTGTTCCAGTTGACTACCTATGTCATATAACAGCCCAATATGAAAATTATCTGGGAGATGGCCAAAAAGAGATTTGATGAGGGCAAGTGCATAATGTTGCCTCTCCCCAGCTGAAGTCATATTTGCAAGGTAAATGACATGATCATGATGACAGAGTAGGGCCATGACACCAGTATCTGAAAAGAACTGGGTACTTGCCTACACTGCCATCAGACCAATGGAGTCAGAATAAATGATTAAGACTCACTTTCTGGCACCTCTCATCAGCTGCAGTAAAGGACTCATGACAACCCTTCAGCACTGACATTGTTATCCTCATTCCCTCTTCAAACTCATCCTCCCCATCACCAAGATAATTCTTTTTCAAAGGCTGTGCACTCCTCCTTTGGGTTGAAGACTTTGACTTTTGCAACTCATTAACCTCATGCTCCATAGCACAAATATCTTCTTGTGAAAGAAAGACTGTAGCTGTAGGGTTTACTGGATCATCTGGATGCCCACTTCTGTGCTTCTGAGTAACACAAGCATCAATGCAAACAATTGCATCAACATCAGAAAAGCTAGAACAAAGGAAATTTTAGCAGTTGACAAAACTATATCCACCAAGTGACATACCCATGTTCACTATTATTGCTCTGCCAGCTCTGGCCACCAAAGCATAGAGGACAACACTGTCATAGGTATTCTGATGGCCTCATCTTTGAACTGAGGACATCATTGTCTAGGGAACTTGGCAATGGGATTGCAGAGGGGATGTTCGATGGTGGACTAGCAGATTCTTGCAGTTGTTGTTGGACATATTCATCAAGGGATGTTTCCAGAATACAATACCAGTGATATGCATTACTGAACCTCCAGCATATACCCTCCTGCAAGTATCATCAGCAATGATCCATGACTGAGAAGAACAACCAAAGTATGCATTAATAATATAGCAACATCACCACAAACAATACCAACAAACATCCTACACTATCAATATAACACTACAGCAGTCCAAAGAAACAGAACATGTCACACATGCATGTACTTATAACCATGAAATAGTCATGCATCAGATTAAGATATACTACCTACATAGCAGAGTCATCTGTACTACAGTCACTATGGCAGTAATGTATGTTTTACAAAGTGGAAAAAATGGGGTAATGATACAAAACATGACAATTCCATACCTTTGTGTCCACCTCATAACCCATAGCTGCAAGGTATGCCTCAAGGGACTCACACCATACTGAAGTGTTTGGAGGTATGCACATGAAGAGTTGTCAGACAAAGCCGAGAAGCTGTAGGCTAACAGCAAGTGTTGGCCCCACTGGGGCACAGGGGAAGTAGCCCACCCAAAGGAGTTGGAGGGCTGCAGGTGCACAAGGACAGACAGCCAGATCAACTGATTGCAGAGCTGCCATGAATGCATCTAAGCAGAGGAAAATGATGAAGAACACAGAAGTCTCACCATTGAAAGCAATGCAAATGACTCTCAGTTTTCAAGTCTGGTGACAACCACACATTGGCAGTTCATAGTCAACAGGATTCCAGAAGTGGTTGGATAGTCATTGATATGCAAGGAACAGCTGAAGGAGGGAAGGGATGACAGCATGTGACCACTGCTGCCACTGCTTCATTTTTTTTTGGGCTTTCCTAGACAGTGACAAGAGTGGGTCTTGGATAATATGTAGCCCATCATTTAAGCAGTTGAAAGTGGCATCATGGGAGAGGTCACATTCACTACCCACAGAAGGCTCTAACAGGCAAGCAGCACTTGAAGCAGAGTGGCATCAGATGTGTGGGTTGGAGGAATCACTGGGGTGTTGTGTGAAAGTGTGATGGCCAGGTAAGGTGAGCAAGCACTCAACAGGAAGGTAAAGCCCTGCAGTTCCAGGAACATGGCATGAAGGTTCAGCAATCTGATGGTCAACAAGGACCATGAGATCATCTGCATGGAGCGAGTCAGGAATCTGGTTTGTTGGGGTGGTAACTCGTACAGGGGGACCACACCTAGTAAGCTGTTTTGGTCAACGAAAAGACATCTATGAAATTTGGTCAGATGCATAAACTGTCTAGGTGAGTTGGTGGTAGACAATGATCCTGCAACACCAAGTTACAGGACTGTGACCAGGACACCAAATCCTGGTTGCTGGAAGGTAACCCCAAGATGCCACCAGCACATCTCCAATAGTTAGCCTCCAGCATAGAAAAGCAAACTGACCTTCGCACATGACTAGTGAGGGTGATGGGGAAAGAGACAGAGCAAGTGTGCAATGAACAAAATGAGATTGCAATTGAAGCATGCTATGAATATCGTTTGGGAAATGTACAGAGTAAAAATGGTATTGGGGAATGATGAAGGAGGTTACCAACCATTTGAACTGTAACCACACAGTGCAGTTGGAATAAGGCAGGGAAGAAGGGGCAGATGACCAAAAGTATCAAAGAATGACTGTGCATAAAATATAGCCAACTTCTTTTCCATTGCCCAGACACATGACAATGACACTAATGGCATAATTGGCTCCACCAAGTCCAAGGGGCATCCTGGCCATACAGCAAGTAATGCCCAGAGCTTCTCTACATACTCCCATTTCAATTGCAAGTCAGATGAGCCAAGGCCTTGATTTTGCTGAGGGAAAGGCTCAGCACACATGGTGAGTTCCAAATCACCAGGGAAAATCTGCATAGAGTTCAGAAACAGCACATTCCTGGTGAGGTAAAATTGTACATACCTGCTGGACATGATTGAGCCACTCTGAATCCTGATTCGACCACAAGCTAGGCATCATCACATGGTCAAGAGTGACCAACTCAAACTGGAAGTTGTGTTCATATAAATCCCATAAAATCTTGCTTTTCATCATCTGATTGATGTGAGGTCTGCAAGGGAAATTGAAATATCCCAGAATTGTACATGGCTAGGTATGTCATGTTGGAGGCTGATGAGCTCAGGACCGAAGAGGGTGGCAGAAAGATGAGTGATCCAACCCACTCAAGAGACTAGCCAATTCCTCAGGTACCTCTGCTGGCGATTGGAGGACTTGCCCCTCACAAACAGACTCAGGCTGGGAAAGAAGTAAGCTACCTTGGGCATGTTGGGACTAACCCTTTTTGCATCCTTATTCATGTCCTTCAGGGCAGCATACCATGCAGACATAGTAGGGGGAATAGCTGGATTGCTGAGGTCTTCCCACAGTTCAGGATTCAGAACAACCAACAGCTTGGCTCCTCTCAAGCCCACAGGGGGATCTGAGCAAAATGTTAAACACACTGAGACAAAATGAATAGGATATGTACATGGCTGATTACATTGTCAAGCCCTGCCTGTCCTAACAGCTCCTGTACTTGAACTTGCACCACTGGAACTTGCAGCATTGGAAGCCATGGGACCCATGCTTGTGGGAGTTGAGGCCACACCACTGCTGGTGTGCAGTGGTTCCGGCCAGGGAGCTGCAAATTGCTCGAGCCCAATTGCTGGGCCTTGTTGAGTGTGCCTGTGGTGCAATTCACCAGGGTTGTACCAGGTGCTGTGCCATTTCAGCATCTGCCTGACCTCAAAAACCTCAGGATCCATGACTATGTCATGAGGGTGTGTAATCTCGACGGTCTTCAACACTTGCATGTCTGGGGGTACATGATTGGGTTTCCAGACCATCCAGACAGGCATGCATATTTCAAAAAGGCACTGGCAAATGTTGGGGTCTGTCATGAATGCCCCAATCCAGTGGTCAAATGAATCGATGAAAGTGCCCATAGCAGGGTCAAAGTCTGTGTCCAGATATTCTAGCATGCCAAAGATGTCCAGGAGGAGGCATTGACAAAAAGTGACCAATATGACTGTGTCTCAAAACATAAATGGGAGTTTCTAGAGAAAATTTTAATTAACGAAATCTGAACCAGAAAAAAATCATGCCTTCAGACACAGGAGACATTGCTGACATGACCCCAGCCACAAATTGGGTCTCAGAGGACCTTTGTAGTGGGGGTGCTTCTTGAGCCAATCTTGCAAATGTTCATCTAGTCGATTACAAATGGTCTCCATTGACTTCCACTTGTCAGCATGAATCCTGCCAACTTTGAAGGCAGACCCTCTTTCCAGCACAAAATCCTCCACTGACTAGGTAACATTCCACCACAGCCACTTCCATGTTGGGTCATCTCCATAGGCCACTTTCCAGGGGACACACAGACTCCATGTGTAGCATTCTGCAAACAACTGTGGCCATTGAAAACAGTCTATATGGCTGAACTGTCCATCATGTAGGGGCATGATTGTTTCTCCATCAAAGATGAAGGGTTGGGGAACATAGTCAGCATTCAGTGATGTGATCCAGTGGTCATCACACTTTGCTAGGATGCACACATCGAATGCACCCCATCTCCCTGAAAATAATGATAATCAATTTGAGCTGAGTTAGGGACAGCAAGAATGCACCATTGCCAGGGTGGTTGCACAATGATAATTTATAAGGGTGAATGTTAGCTACATTCATCCTGGAAACAAAAGAAGTCAGTCAGTACTTACTTAAATTGACAGAGATGATGACAAGGGGAGAAAAAAATGAATCATGCAGTGTTAAGGCTGGTGTAACTGAAATGAAACGAGAATGTTGCCCTCAATAGGCCCCAAGCCTATTGAGAACTTGTGAGGCACCAAACCCCAGAGCACTCGGCAGACAACTGCTCCAAATGTTTGGCTCTGAGTACAGCATAAGTTGACTGGATGTTTGAAAGAAAAGTATGAATGAAAGAGAATAAAAACTTACTTGCAAAAAACATCTTCTTGACAAAGAGGTGATGATGATTGGTGTATTGACTCTGCATGCATATAGACTATGTTAATGCCTGAGTTTTGATGAAGAAATGCCCCAGAAACTGCAAGGATAACTCTTGATAGGCCTCAAGCCTATCAAGAACTCATGGGCACCAAACCCCCAAGACCTGACAGACGAACACTCCAAACATTTGTGGAAAGAGTGACTGGGCCATCTGGGAAAGTAAGATGGAAAAGATAGAGGGAAACTTACCTTGCACTGAATTGGTTTATACAGAGGGGTGTCAGTGACTCAAAGTAGTAGGTAGCACTTACTAGTAGTAGTGAGAAATCTTATGGGTACTGCTGTGCACATGACCTGCACCACAAATGAATGTGATGCCTGACTTACAGCATGCTTGAGGCAGACATCGAGTCTAGGCTCTAAATTGTCAAATAATTGGGTGATTAGATGTAAGTTTTGTGTTCCATATTTCATTCCTCAATGTTCCAGACTGCCTATTGTAATATTCATGGGAGACGTGTTCATGCATTACAGTAATGACATGTTGATAAGCCACTTATAGCAAGTCCTAGTTGCAAGTACTAGTGCACCATTGCTACTTTGTTAATAGATTTGGCCACTTTTACCAATGTGACTAAAGTTTTGATGAATGACAGAATTTTAACATGTCATTTCACAATTGCACAATTGTTACATCATCACAGCTGAAACAAATATTTGCACCACCCGCAGCTAGTACTTAGTGACACTCTCATCTTCTGTATGCTGTCTGCATGGTATTGGGGGAACGCTGTCACACACCAAAGGTGTTTGGTGAGGTGGACATGGATGTAGCTGATGAATAGAGGTGAAGACCATAGCCCTCATGCGAAGAAGGACAGCCAGCAATGTCGGCAGTCATCCCTCGCACAAGAACAGGTTGTCAGTGCCAAAGAAAAGGGAGGAGGTGAGTTAAGTGCCAATAAAATTCTTAAGTGCCCATGTACGGCATTCCGGTTTTCGACGTATCTCCACCAGTTCTGCAGACACCAAAACCATTTCCACACTCGCTTGTAGTGCTCAGCCACGCAATCCTACCTTCCAAGATTGGAAAGGATTTGCATGCTCCACACATTTCTACAGCACTCCCTCCAAAAGATGCTCATTTTGCTAATTCTTCTGATATGGCTGCCTCCACATCAGTCATTTTGCTTGTCCCCTTTGCTAGGGACCATGGCTACATATATCTACCAGGAGTTCCTACCAGCTTCCGTCCTGAAGCGTCCTGGTACATCCCACCCTCATCTGCCCCCTCTCAGCCCATCCAGCTTGGACAGCATGTTCTTTTTGTCAGTATGACCTCCAGGAGGACATTCTTTGGTCGCCTCAGGTCTGTCATTTGCTTGGAAAGGTCTTATGTGGTTGTTTCAGTCTCTCCAGTCCAAGAAGCATATGGATCCTTCCTCCCTGCCCCCTGCAACATCTTCATACCAGTCTCGTCCATCATTCATCCAAAATTGTGACAGCTACAGTATAATCTACTGTTCTCCACTCTCCCTGATCGCATCCATGATGAGAATGATGCACATCTTGCCTCCTTGTTGCAAGATACAGCAGAAGATGCTCCCCCTTCATCCTCTCTTCCAACAGAGCCTCGTTCATGAAGTTTTTATTTGCTTCACTGAGAGGATGGTTTGGGGGGGAAAGTTGTGATCCCCTATGCTCCTGTCACCCCACAGACCCCCAAAGCTTGACCCCTGTTGACATCTGCTTCACCCTGTCTGCTTTTGGATGTACTATATCGGCATCAGATCAGCGCTGCCTCTCTGTCATCCCACTTTGGCCTAGAAGCAATCTCTTCAAGATGTGACATGCACAGCCTCCCCCTAATGCGATTCCAGTGCACTTTCCCAGTTCCTGACATTGCTTGACTCATACTTTGACATTCTGACTGTCTTTGACTCACCTATTGCCAATACTTACCAATCTTTTGACTTTGCTTACTGATTCTTCGCTTTTTGGCTTACTTGTCCTTACCAATGCTTACCAATGCTTTCCAAGATGATTACCCATTGCTTACATTCCTTACTCATCAGTTACCAATTGCTTACCAAGTGTTTACACCTTGTTTTCCATAGGCAATGCCCCTGTACTGTATATAAGTCACTGTACTTAGGTAGCAAAAAAAAGAGACATCAGAGAGCCCCCTCTTGCTCGCAATTTATCATCTCTCAGTAAATCATTCATCAGCTTTGATAGTTGAGACTTTATTAAGGGTCTAGCTATCATCTACTTCGCTTATCATCATCTATCATCCATATACTTCACTCCAAGCCCTCCCTGAGCTCAGTACAGCTTAGGACATCGAATTAAGTCATCATCCATCTTTCTGTAGGCTGACAGCAGTCTACCCTATCCCTTTCCATCACATTCTTGCTCCCTCTTCGTCAGGAGCACCCCCAACCCTCAGCACTCATCTTTGAGTGTTGTAGCTCGCAGAAACCCTCCCAAAGAACAGGTTCTACCATCTAGGTACCGCATAGGCACACCACCACTCGCTTTTGTTGTCTTTTGTGTTGGTTTTGGTTGGTTTTCACCACTGAACCACACTTTGACTCACATCTGGAGCCCACCGCAAGGGGTGGTCATTCCTGGATCAAGAAAAACCTTGTTTGTGTTCACATCCTTCATATTCCTGCCTCCTAGGTCGTCATAATCACCAGAATCTATCGCTTTTCCCATCCAAACTCCTATCCTCCTTATCTCATCAAGTCTTGCCTGTAAATCCACCATATATCTCGCTTCTATGTCATCTGCTACCTCTGCTATTTATCCACCCATGCCTCCAGCAGCTCCTCCAGCTGCTTGCTTGGCATGAAATCTGCTCCAGAGCTCTTCCAAGGAGATCATACCCATGTTTGCACTTTCCTGGATCACTATGAGCGACTCTGTGCTTTCCATAATGTCAGTTCTGACCAGGAAATGGTTGAGTCAATCCTCCAGTACTGTAATGCTCGGGTTAGGGAGATTATTGAAGGAATGGCACACTACTATGCTCCTAACTGGGCTAACTTGAAGGCTGATCTCCTCAAGTACTTCGATGCTGATCTGTCAGATGAAAGATTCTTTGAAAGGCATCTCAAGAGCTTTGCTTTGGAGTCTAGGTTACAGCCCATCATGTCGCTTCAAGACTTTAGGGCTTACAATCATGGTTTCATTCGCATTGGTGGTTGGTTGAAGAACAAGGGAAGGATCTCGGTTGATGAGCACAATCACTACTTTTGGGCTGGTTTGTCCCCTATTTTTCATAGCCTGGTTGAGAGCCATCTCAGGTTGAAGGATCCGAACCTTGATACCAGCAGGCCCTTCGCTTATGCAGATGTATGCCAGTCTGCTGAAGAAGTCCTTTGTCGTGATCGCTTTGATGCAGATGATCTCGATTTCCTTGGCCCCAGAGCTGCACCTAATGCTCCTCAGCCCCAGAATAGCACTTCTCATCGCTCTGATGGCAGAGATGATAGTGTTCGACCCTTACTCCCTGCTCATGAAGCCAGAAGAAACCTTGAAACTTTGGAGAGAGAAGCTCCTACTGCTCACAAACAGGATGAGGTTGAGACTTTGATCAAATCCCTGTCTCGTATGTCGCTTAGTGACCCAGACTACTCCCTCCTGTATTATTGAGCCATTAAAATGGATCCTGATGCTGCAAAGGTCCTTCGTGCTCCATCTCTTCGTCCTGCTCCTGCTCCTGCTCCTACTGCTGCATCTGCTGCTCCTGTTGCTACTCCACCAGCTCAGACCCATCCTGCTAGAAGGACCATCACTTGTTATGGATGTGGTGTTGAAGGTCATGGTCTTGATAATTGTGAGGCAGTTAATGATCTCGTTCAGAAAGGTTCTTTGGCACGTGATGAGAATTGTCGGGTTATCTACCCTAATGGGCAGCGTATTTATTGCAATGGAGAAGAGACTATCCTCCAGGCCTATGAGCGCACTCTGGCTGCAGCCCAGCCTGCCAATGTGGTTCGCTTTGTTGTCCATGAAGACATCAAAGAAGAATCCAGTGCCGAGATCTATGAGTTGAAAGATGAACCTCTCGTTGCTGCTGTGGATCGTTCCACCAAGATTACCAAGGAGAAAAGAAAGGCTGCCTTTGACAGTGTCCTTATCCCACCTCGTTCGCATGGCAAGGAGAAAGAGAACCAGATGCCAAAGCCTTCATCCTCTGCATCCATCCCTGCTCCACAGAGAGCACCACTTGCTCCTGTCTTCATTCCAGTTGATGTTCATGCCCCTGCCTTCGATGGGAGCAGAGATGATGCCATCATGGAAGATGATTCTGTCCCAAAGCCATCAGAACAAGCCCCTGACTCTGCAGAAAAGCCCAAGAAGTCAAAGCCTGCTGCTACCACATCCCTATCTTCATCCCTCTCGCAATCTGCCAGTTCCAAGGCCATTGTAGATCGGATTCTTTTGACTCCCTTGACAGTATCAGTTGGGGAGGTTATTGGCACTTCCAGGGATGTTTCTCAGCACCTCCAGGAACTGATGCAATTCAAAAGACAGCCACTGATGCAACAGCCCGTCAAGTCTGTGACAGCTGTCGATGGAACTCCCCCTGTGGTTTCTTATCTTGCATTGACATCTAGCCCCTTGATCACCATCAATCTCTCCTGTAATGGTTGATGGGTGACAGGTGTCATTGACTCTGGATCAACCCTGAATGTCATCAGATCAGGTATAGCTCAGTCTGTCATTCGCATGCCCATTGATATGTCACAAACTGTCAATATGCGAGATGCAAAGGGGGGTATTTCGACACTGAAAGGCCTGGTACAAGATGTCCCCCTCTTCTGTGGTGCTGCCAAGACTTGGACCAATCTTTTTGTTGCCCCAGACACCAATGCTGGCTTTGATCTCCTCCTAGGTCGTCCTTGGGCCCTTGGAAACTCTGTTAGCATCGTAGAGAGAGAGTCTGGGACCTTTGTTGTCTTTGGAGCTGATTCAGAGCGACCCCTGGAGATGTGTGTTACTGAAGGTCAGCTTGGAACTGTTGCAGATACACTTATGGCGACTCTGGAGCCTGCCCAAGCTCAGGAAAATGTTGATGAAGGCATGATGGATGTATCAGCTGGTACTCCTCATCGAGTTTCCCCTATAATCTTCGCTCCACCCCTGTCAACTTCGCAGTCACCCCCTCAGTTGCTTCATTCCACCCTGCTGTACCCTGAGTCAGTTGCAGATGGGTTTGATGTCACTTCAGCATTGCCTGCCTTCCAGCCCATCCCAGTTCATACCTTTCCACCTCCTTCGAGCCCCTTTCCTTCAGAGTTTGTGCATCGACTTCTGCAAGAGTTGGAGTCCACTGAGACGAGTGGATTGGAGCATAACCATGTCATTGCCAGGATTCGCCAGAGGATCAGGTTTGAAGAGCGCCAGTCACTTGTTGCCCTGCTCACCAGTCTCTCCCATCGCACTCCCAATTTATCACCCCT